CCCCCGCCTATTATCATTATTTCATCCCTCTGGTCCTGTTCACCGCCCCATATTCATTTCCGGTAGCGACGTCTTTCCCGTATGACCAAATCTAAGCTGGTTAGCTAGGGCTGCGAGTCGTTATCACTCTGTATACGTGTGTGCACTATTCCTCATAATATTTTCGTTCGTTCCTCTGTATATTACATTACAATCCTCTACGGATATTGGGAGAGGCGGGGAGGGGTAGCCAGGGGCAATGATAGCGGGGAGGACAATATAACGTTCCTTTCTCTGAAAACACTCTCCTTTTTCCAACCCTTCCAAACGACTTTTCTCTTTGAGGATGATTGGCTGCTTGTGAGATGAACACTCCCCTACGGCACAGGATCTTGAAAGCCCTACAGATACCGCCATGGGCGGCCGGACCTGTCCTGTCGTGTATCAAGGGGGAATCCAGCTGTGATTGCTACGATGGCTTGACTCTCTCACCGTTCGCCCCTCTTCTATCTCTTCTCCCTTCCTCGCCGCCTTTGCCCTGCGTTTCTCGCTTACATTTATTTACAAGAGAGCCGTTATCTCTTCGTCCAGTTCGACGACATATCCATATCAAATTACCCGTTCGTGTCAGGCTGCAGGGTGTAAAGTTTCTTCCCATCTCTCGTTATACATACGTAAAATACATTCTAGTTTTTTTTTTTTTTTTTTTTTTTTTTTTTCCATTGAGACGTGTGGACCCAATGAATGAAATATCTCGGTGCCGTTTTGCCTTTGCTTTACAGATGCAGTTTGCCCGCTCAGCCAGTGCTTTCCATTGCATATCCTATCGCCATGCAGCCAGACCAATATCAACAGCACACCTCGCGGTCCCCGTTAGTCCTGCTGAGAAAACTGGAAATTACCATGAGCATCTCTGATGATAATGATAATAATAGTAATAATAAATAGAAAGTAAAGGTGGTTAATAAATTGAAAATCAATGGAATTCCAGCTGCAACAGAATTATACACACACCCCTCTTTGAGTATTCACTGCCTGCTGAACCGACGACACATGTGCCAGACTTGTTATTATTCTACT